AATTAATTTTTCTAGTCTTCAGGCCCAGCTTGTTGGATGAGTTGGATGAGTTAATGAACCTAGACCCACACCAAGGTGAGGCAGGCTTCCAGAAGGTGGAGGGATACGGGGAAAAAAGAGAGTAGAGGGCAATCCTGGCATGGCTTAGTCTTTTTCTTTCTTTTTTTTTTTGAGATAGAGTCTCACTCCACCCAGGCTAGAGTGTAGTGGCACGATTTCAGCTCGCTGTAACCTCTGTCTCCCAGGTTCAAGCGATTCTTGTGCCTCAGCCTCCTGAGTAGCTGGGATTACACAGGTGTGTGCAACCATGCCTGGCTAATCTTTGTATTTTTTTTCCCCTCAAAATGGAGTCTTGCTCTGTCGCCCAGGCTGGAATGCAGGAGCATGATCTCGGCTCACTGCAACCTCTGTCTCCCGGGTTGAAGTGATTCTCCTGCCTCAGCCTCCCGACTAACTGGGATTATAGGCACGCGCCACCACGCCCAGCTAATTTTTGTTTTTTTGGTAGAGACAGGGTTTTACTATGTTTCACCTGGCCACCATGTTGGCCAGGCTGGTCTCGAACTCTTAACCTTGTTATCTGCCCGACTCGGCCTCCCAAAGTGTTGGGATTACAGGTGTGAGTCATTGCACCTGCCGGCATGGCTTAGTCTTAAATGCAAATCTAGGCCAGGCACGGTGGCTCATGCTTGTAATCCCAGCACTTTGGGAGGCTGAGGCAGGCGGATCACCTGAGGTCAGGAATTCGAGACCAGCCTGGCCAATGTGGTGAAACCCCGTCTCTACTAAAAATACAAAAATCAGCCAGGCATGGCGGTGCGCGCCTGTAATCCCAGGTAATCTGGAGGCTGAGGCAAGAGAATCGCTTGAACCCGGGACGTGGAGGTTGCAGTGAGCCGAGATCGTGCCATTGTACTCCAGCCTGGGTGACAAGAGGGAAACTCTGTCTCAAAAAAAAAAAAAAAAAAAAAAAAATCAAATGGTGCACGGTGGCTTTCCTGTTTTTCAAATGCTTAGAGTTAATGACTCTGCACATCTTTTTCGAAACTGAAGTCATTTGTGACTCTTCCTCTTACATGCCACATCTAGTCAACCAGCAAATCTCATCTACTGTACCTTCAAAATTCACCCAACTTGAAACCAGGTGAGGTGGCTCACGTCTGTAATCCTAGCACTTTGGGAGGCCGAGGTGGGTGGATCACCTGAGGTCAGGAGTTGGAGACCAGCCTGGCCAACATGGTGAAACCTCATCTCTACTAAAAATAAAAAAAAAAAAAAAAAAAAAAAAAATTAGCTGGGCATGGTGGTGGTGCCTATAATCACAGCTACTCAGGCAGCTGAGGCAGGAGAATTGCTTGAACCTGGGGGGCAGAAGTTGCAGTGAGCCAAGATTGCACCACTTCACTCAAGCCTGGGCAAAAAACCAAAACTCCATCTCAAAAAATACAAAATTGGGGCCGGGTGCAGTGGCTCACACCTGTAATCCCAGCACTTTGGGAAGCTGAGGCAGGTGGATCACCTGAGGTCAGGAGTTTGAGACCAGCCTGGCCCACATGGTGAAACCCTGTCTCTACTAAAAATACAAGTTAGCCAGATGTGGTGGCAGGTGCCGGTAATCCCAGCTACTCCAGAGGCTGAGGCAGGAGAATCACCTGAACCTGGGAGGTAGAGGGTGTAGTGAGACGAGACCATGCCACTGCACTCCAGCCTGAGCAATAGAGTGAGACTCCATCTCAAAAAAAAAGTTGTCTGGGTGCAGTGGCTCATGCCTGTAATCCCAGCACTTCGGGAAGCAGAGGTGGGCGGATCACCTGAGGTCAGGAGTTCCACACCAGGCCAACCAACATGGAGAAACCCCGTTTCTTTTTTTTTTGTTTTTTTTGAGACGGAGTCTTGCTCTGTCGCCCAGGCTGGAGTGCAGTGGCTGGATCTCAGCTCACTGCAAGCTCCACCTCCCGGGTTCACACCATTCTCCTGCCTCAGCCTCCCGAGTAGCTGGGACTACAGGCACCCGCCACCTCGCCCGGCTAGTTTTTTGTATTTTTTAGTAGAGACGGGGTTTCACCGTGTTAGCCAGGATGGTCTCGATCTCCTGACCTCATGATCCGCCCGTCTCGGCCTCCCAAAGTGCTGAGCCCCCACGCCCGGCCGAGAAACCCCGTTTCTACTAAAAATACAAAATTAGCTGGGCATGGTGGTGCACGCCTGTAATCCCAGCTACTCAGGAGGCTGAGGCAGGAGAATCGCTTGAACCTGGGAGGCCGAGGTTGCGGTGAGCTGAGATAGCCCCATTGCACTCCAGCCTGGGCAATAAGAGCGAAACTCCGTCTCAAAAAAATTAAAAAAAAAATTTACCCAACTTGTTCCCACCATCCTCATTGGCCCCTGCCTGGCTCAGGCTACCACTATGCCCTGGACGGTTGCTGTCACCATCTAAATCACCTCTCTACTTTGGTTCTCGATCCCAGATGTGTTCTCAATACAGTTGCTTAGAAGATCCTTTTCAAACAATTCAGACCTCTGATCATATCACTGTTCTTCTCAGAATTTCCAGAGCTGTCCCATTTGAATTAAGACTGAGTCCTTTCCTCGGCCTACAGAGCCCTACTCTCCTCCCAACCCCCATCTCATCTCTCTTCTGTTCCTGGCTGTTTCTCAAATATACCGAGCCCACCCCAACCTCTAAGCCTTCGCTTAGTTGCCTCCTTCATTTCCTTCCAGTCTCTGTTCAGTGTCACCTCCTCAGGGACACCTTTTTTTTTTTTTTTTTGAGATGGAATCTCGTTTCGTCACCCAGGCTGGAGTGCAATGGCATTATCTCGGCTCACTGCAACCTCCACCTCCTGGGTTCAAGTGATTATCCCGCGCAACTTCCGGAGTAGCTGGGATTACAGGTGCGTGCCATCATGCCCAGCTAATTTCTGTGTTTTTGTAGAGACAGGGTTTCACCATGTTGGCCAGGCTGTCTCGAATCCCGACCTCAGGTGATCTGCCAGCCTCGGCCTCCCAAAGTGCTGGGATTACAGGCCTGAGCCACTGCGCCCGGTCTTTTTTTTTTTCTTTTTTGATACAGAGTCCTGTTCCGTCGCCCAGGCTGGAGTGCAGTGGTGCGATCTCCAATCACTGCAACCTCTGTCTCCTGGGTTTAGGAGATTCTCCTGCTTCAGCCTCCCGAGTAGCTGGGACTACAGGTGCACACCATCTTGCCTGGTTAATTTTTGTATTTTCAGTAGAGACGGGGGTTTCGCCATGTTGGCCGGGCTGGTCTTGAACTTCTGATTTCAAGTGATCCGCCCACCTCAGCCTCCCAAAGTGCTGGGATTACAGGTGTGAGCCACTGCACCCGGCCAGGACACCTCCTTTGATCACTTTATCTAAGGCACACTCAGGCACCGCATGATTTTTTTCCCCCCTCAACACTGTCAGCCCTGACATAGTATAATACGAATTTTTAAATGCTGTCTCCCTGGGTGGAATGAAAGTCCATGACCATGAGCAGGGACATTATTCCATTTACCAGTTTCTTTGGGGGCTGCTTCTTTACTGGTAAAATGGGCACTTCTGGGTTCAAGTTCCTTCTGACTCGGATGTTTTGGGGATATGAATTTCTGCTGTCTCGTGGCAGGCCTGAATCACAAAGACTTTTTCCCAGATATGGAACTGTATTGCAGGTGGGCTTTTCGTGTTTCCAGGACCCCTGAGACTGTTTTTTTTTTTTTTTTGAGACCGAGTTTTGCTCTTGTCGCTCAGGCTGGAGTGCAATGGCGCGATCTCGGCTCCCTGCAACCTCCACCTCCCAGTTTCAAGCGATTCTCCTGCCTCAGCCTCTCGAGTAGCTGGGATTACAGGCCTGCGCCACCACACCCGGCTAATTTTGTATTTTTAGTAGAGACGGGGTTTCAGCATTTTGCTCAGGTTGATCTTAAACTTCTGACCTCAGGTGATCCGCTCGCCTCGGCTCCCGCAGTGCTGGGATTACAGGCGGAGACTTTTCTTTAGCGCCAGTTTCCCACTATGGGAGTCTGTATCCCGGTTACCACGGAAGATTAGGTTGCATCATAGTCTGGCAATAGTTTTTTGATCTTTAGACACAGTTCAATGAGAAGTATTCGAAGCAGTAAAAATGAATCACATTCCAACTTTTATTAACAAGGGTACTATTAGATGAAAACAGTTTTCATAGTATTATATAAAAGACCCATTTTACTTACCCTAAGGCTAAGATCAATTAACAGAACCCCTGGGGTAACAGCCCAGGCACCAAATCTGACACCTCAGAGTCGTCCTTGACTTCCCTAACCCGCTTTCCCGCATCTCAGATTCTGAGAATTTGGTTTCTATCAAGATGTGCCTCTCAAGCCAGGCCTCTCCTGCCAGGACGGTGGCCACAGGGCCATCTCCCTCTCCTGGGGCCCCAACTGCCTGGTCAAGGTGACTGCTACACACGTGGGGCCGCAAAATCCCTCGAGTCACAATGTCTTCAACGCCTTGTCAGCCCTCTGATCGCACTAAACGTCTTTAAAGCCTCCCACTCCTTTAACAGGGTCACCTCTGTGTAAAGGCGACCTCCTCGTGCTAAGTGTGGCGGCGTTCAAGATTCCGAGACACAGACCCCTCCCGCGTCACTCCCCGGGCACAGGAACTCCTACTCATCCCTCAGTCATCAGCTCGAAGGTTTCTTCTCCAAGAAGCCTGCCCAGCACCCGAGAAGTAGAGCCGCGAGCCTTCTCCCGGGCGCCCAGTCTTCCCCCGTACAGGCAAGGATCACCCCGGAAGCCCGCGCCGGGCCCCGCTGAGGCCAGGGGTTCCTCGGAGGCGCGGGAAAGCCGGATCACCAGCGCGATTACGGCACACACTATGCGGGGCCTGCAAGGATACCGGGCGGCCACTCCTCAGTGGTAAGACAGAGGCTCCGCGGAAAAGAGACTGAGGCCGCGGAAACCCCATACCGCACTCCACGGGACAGGTTCCGCCCCGCCCCGATGACGCTTCCGGATCCGGCGTGTGCCGGAAGTGGGCGGGCGGCGGCGGCTGCGCGCGGAGGCGGTGGAGGAGGTGCTGGGAGCAGCCCGGTGGCTGCTTCCCGCCCCCGAGCCGGAGCCGGTGCGAGTGGAGCAGCGCTGAGGTCGGGCCGCGAGTGGAGCCGGCTGAGCGGGCGCCGAGCTCCCGCCATGGCCCGGAACACGCTGTCCTCGCGCTTCCGCCGGGTGGACATCGACGAATTTGATGAGAACAAATTTGTGGACGAGCAGGAGGAGGCGGCGGCGGCGGCGGCGGAGCCAGGCCCGGACCCGAGCGAGGTGGACGGGCTCCTGCGGCAATATCCTTCCCTGACGCGGCGTCCGGGCCTGCGCGCGGCCTTCCCACCTTCTCGGGCCCCTTCGGGCGGGCCTCCGCTGTCTCCGACCCCCGGCCCCCTCAGGTCAGCCTTCAACTCCCTGCCGACCTGACTCCCCTGGGCCGTGCTCCCCTGAGTCCTGGTCTCCCTGGGTCCTTCCTCCCCAGCCCTGGCCCCTTCTTGTGCAGCGCAGCCCCGCAGGCCCTTGGACCCGGTGGACGGGCTCCCTCGGTAGCCCCGCAGGTCCCGCGCCCCGGGCTCTCTTCCCCTCTTGCCTCCTCGTCCCCTCACGCTGTCCCTTTCTGGGGGCCCCAGCACTCCGTCCCTCCCTTGCAGGAAATCGGGCCTATGGCGGGGCTGGGTTGGCGGCAGGGCGGAGGTGAGCCGTATCTGAGTAACCGAGTGATCGGTGAGGCTGGGGCGCGGTCTTCCGGGGCCAGATTGCCGCAGGGCGTGAAGATAGGTGGGTGGACCGCTGTGGGGAAGACAGGACCCAGGAGGGAGTGGAGGCGGCCGCCCTATTTCAGCCCTGGGGTCTAAGGTTGTGCCTCCCCTCCCCCAGTCAGTCTAACCCTCCCGCTTAATGCTGAGAAAGGGAAACCCTGTGGTTCCTCTGGTCACCTTGGTGGTCTCAGCTACGCTCAGCAAGTGAGTCTTGGCTCCCCCCAGTACCCTTCTGGTGCAGGAAGCAGCGGAAAGAACTAGTAGTTCAGAGCTAAGAAAAACCAGACACCTTGAAGTGAAGTGTGAAAGTAGAGCCCCACGCCTGGAAATGACTGTTCTTGTGGCCACAGAAAACAGCATTTAGAAAAGATTAAAAATAGAGGTGATTGTCACAGCCTTGCTTGGTCCTTTAGCAGTATGAGCGCAGGAAACTGACTTATTCTCACCGGAAGGATTTTTCTTTATTCAAATGGTGTTCCAGGAAGCCTGTCCCCTCCCCCCGCACGGCGGGGGCAGGGTTGGAGGCCCATGCTGTACATAAATCAGGTTCTCGGTGTTGAACCAGTTGACTCAGCTTGGAAAGTGGGGCCTGCTGCTTTAGGGGGGAGCCCGGCAGTGCTCCTCAGTGTGCCTTTAAAACGAAAACCTTCAGACTTGGTTTGAACAGGAATGTGTTTTCGGAAGTGGAGATTCAAGCTTGTCATTCCTGCCCCATCAGGATCCCCCAGTCCACCCTAGTTATGAAATGGGGTCAAGGGAAGGGTCCCCAGGAGGGAAGGTTGGTTGTAGTCAGGTGCAGGGCCTGGCTTATGGAGAGTCAGTGCTGAAGGGGGCTCCAAGGTCAGGCCTTTGGCCCAGGACCCTCATTGAACAGATGAGGAGGTCAGGCCTGTCAGCTGCTGCCTTGGTCTGGGTGCAGAGCCTTGTTGAAGGTCATGTCTTGGGACTCCCCTGCCTGGTGACAGGTTCCTTGAGGCTGCTTAGAGGCCTGGGTTTAGCACATCCCGGGGATGGTCGTTTCTCCATTCATGGCAGCGGCAGAAACCTTGTTACCATGGAGAGTGTTCCACCTGGGGTTGGGGAAAGGGAGGTTAGCGGATAAAGAGAACTGAAACCCTGGCAAACACCGGACCCAGGTAGGGAGGAGAATGGAACTGATATTTATTGGGTCTCTATCATGTGCCAAGAATTGGACTTAGACCATTGAGGACAGGGGAGCAGGGAGAGGGATAGAGGGATTGGGGTTGGGGAGGGCAGAGAGGGACCCTGTCCTGGGGCTATATAGGGAAGTGTGTGTGGCGGGAGATCACGCAGATGGGGTAGAAGGAACTCGGCTGTGCATCTTCGCACACCGCGCGCCATCATGCTCTGGCTCTGACCTCGGATAGGTCACATACCCTCTCACAACTCAGCATTCTCCTCTGTGACGTGGCAGACAGCCGTGCTGGCTTCCTAGGTTCTGTGGGAGCCTCATGGGCTAACATCAGCATCACGGGGCACACAGCAAGTGTCTGCTCAGGTCTGCAGCTAGAGCGGCAGCACCGGATTGTGGGAGGAGCTTGGGTGCCAGGGCCATCTAGACAGCTTAGTTTTGTGACCCTGTGCAGGTAATTTCCGTTCTCTGAGCCTCAATTCCATTGCCTTTCAAATGAGATAATGATTGTTGTTACTGGGATTTTTGGAATGAGATGGCATGTGAAAGCACCAGGCACAGGATCCGAGACCTTGTGGCGATTTAAAAGTATGAGTTCCTTTCCCCTCAGTGAAGCAGCTTCTAGACTTCTGGATCAGGGCTCTGGCCAGAGCAGTGGTTTTGAGCGATTTTGCACCCCTCCCCTCCACCTCAGGAAATTAGAAACATTTTGATAGTTACAGCTTGGGGATGCCACTGGAATCCAGTGGGCAGAGGCCTATGACCCACAGCTGAGATCCCACGTCAGAGAATCGTGGGTCCACAGTGTCAGTTGTGCCGTGATTGAGGAAGATCTAGAGATCAAGGGCTGGGCAGGGTTCCCCCAGCACCACAGCCTATTCTCTGAAAAGGTCTAAAGCCAGCCAAGTATGACAGCCGGCTTCATGAATGACAGGTGATTTCAGGGAGGCCCTCCCTGCACCCCACATCACCCAGCTGCTGAAGGCCCTCACCCATCAATGGACTGAGTGATTGTTGGACACATGGTGCTGAGGTAACGCCACAGCAGGGGCTTTTTGCCCCCGTGGACTAGTTTTATCCCTGCCCTTCCCCAACCATCATTTGAATGATTCCATTTGTTAATTGTGCCAGGTTTATATGAAGAGCAAGTGAGCCTATGTTTTCTGTTCAGCCTATGGGATCCTGCTTATTGCTTTGGGGACACCACCTTAGAAAAGAGTTACAAGGTCCGGGCACGGTGCTCACACCTGTAATCCCAGCACTTTGTGAGGCTGAGGCTGGCGGATCACGAGGTCAGGAGATCGAGACCATTTTGCCTAACACAGTGAAACCCCGTCTCTACTAAAAATACAAAAAAAAAAATTAGGTGTGGTGGTGGGTGCCTGTAGTCCCAGCTACTTGGGAGGCTGAAGTAGGAGAATGGCATGAACCCGGGAGGCAGAGCTTGCAGTGAGCCGAGATGGCACCACTGCACTCCAGCCTGGGCGACAGAGCGAGACTCCATCTCAAAAAAAAAAAAAAAGAAAGGAAGAGTTAAAAAGGTAGCGGTTATCAGTGGCTGATATCAGGCTGGCCTTGTTTGGATGGGGGAAAAGAAACTCCAGAGCTGAAAGACAGAGGGACTGGGCTGCCTCTTGAGTGTGGAAGGTGGATCAGAGCCAAGCAGGGAGCTGGGGAACCAGGGCTGGGAGTGGCTCGCCTGGTGGCGCAGACCCAGCTCACTCAAGATGGAGCTCACACTGGGGAAGCCAGGAGATTCGGCTCTGCTCCGAAGGCCCTTCCTGTCTGCACGTGGGTATCACTGCGTGAAGAGGAGTAGAGACCCGATTGGGCAGAAGCCATTCCTTGTTCTATTTTTGAAGCTTTTTGGCTGAAGCCAGTGTTTCACACGAGGAAATGAAAGTTGGCTGATGTAATTCAGTTTAAAATAGGTGTCACCTTTGGGGACCTAACCCAGATTGTAATTTTCTTTTGCATGCTGGGTATTCAGAACTCAGCAAAGAATGTGTTGTCAGGATTGCAACTGAAGTTGGGGGGGGGTAACGGTGGAGACTGGCTCATTGTTGACAAAAGCTTCTGTTAGATTGATAAACTCTTTCCAGGTAACAGTTGGGACCTCATTGATCCCAATAGGTCTTAGAAGTTCTAGCACATCTAAATTTCCTTAATAGTTTAATTGATGAAGAGCATTGATGAAGAACTGGGAGATCTCCCTTTGTACGTACATTTCCCCCTTTTTAGAGTGAGAAGATGAGAACGGCCTCCAGTTCACATGTACGGGTGCTGTGAGGATCCAGCAGGGGAGATACAGTGCCCAGCACCAAGCAGGTGCAAGTGAGCGCAGTCCAGTTTTACAGCAAGTTACCCCTCAAGGGCAGTTGCTTTGATGGGGAAGGTAGAGAGGGAGGAAGAAGGAGGGTTTGCATGGTTGGCAGAGGTGCCCTGCACCCTCCCCGTGTGGGCGGTAAACAGTCTCTGCCCACCTGGAAGCCGTGGAAGGTGGGTGGTATGGATGAGATCCCATCTGACTGTTCCCTGAGCTGTTTCTGAAGTGAGCTTGTTAATGACAGCGTGGACATGCTTGAGCCTAGCCATCCTTAACTGGTGGTGATGCACAGGGGACATGCTTCGGGCATTCCATGCAGCCTTGCGGAACTCACCCGTCAACACCAAGAATCAAGCTGTGAAGGTAAAGGGGTGGCGCTGCGGCTCTGCTGGGTGCTGTTGGGACCAGGGCTGTGGGTGTCTGGCCAGTGGGAGTGTGAGCTCCTCGGGGCTCTGGGCGGCGTCCGTTTCATCCGCATCAGAGGGAGTGAGCTGGCACTGGGCAGTGCTTCCACGGGAGCCTCCTGGCACTCCCTAGGTGGTGAGGCTCCTCTGACATCAAAGCTGTCAGTGTTTATACGAGAAACTCCCCACGGAAGCCTTCACTCCCGCTCGCGGCCTCGTAGGCTGAGAAGTCAGCCTGGCCCTGGCTGATGAGGAAAATGCATGAATTCGCTCACCTGTGGTGCTTATGCTCCTACAGCCTGAATAGGCTTTGTCTGCCCAAGGATTTTAAGTACCTGTATGCTTTCCTACCTTCTAAAAACTAAATTGTGCTTACTGCATCACCAAGGCTAAAATTTGGTTCAGGGAAAGGGGTCTCCCTGCAGCCGGGATTCTAGCAGCTGTGACAGCATCTTGATGTCACCGATGGCTGCACCTTCACAGAGTTCTGGGAAACGGCCCCACCCTTCTGAGTGTGAATACAAGAGGGATGCTGGAGCCGAGTCAACTTGGTTTGATTTTTTTGATAGTCCACCACCATTGTGGAGTATAATAAGGCCTTATTGGTGTCATCTAAAATAGTGATGGGCTGGGTGCCGTGGTTTATGCCTGTAATCCCAGCACTTTGGTAGATGGAAGGATCACTTGAGCTCAGGAGTTTGAGACCAGCCTGGGCAACATAGCGAGACTTTGTCAGTATTAAAAATTAAAAAAAATAATAATTAGCTGGGCATGGTGGTATGTGCCTGTAGCCCTAACTGAGGTGGGAGGATTGCTTGAGCCTGGGAGAGGCTGCAGTGAGCTGAGCTTGCACCACTGCACTCCAGCCTAGGCAACAGAGCGAGAGAGACCCTGCCCCTCTCTCCCTCTCTTTTTCCCTCGTTTTTATTTTCTCTCTCTCTCTTAGAGTTGATACTTGTCCTAGTAAACTACTTATTCCCCCCAAAATAAGTAGAATAACTTGTTGGCATAAATAAAAGATACTTTGAAATTTAAATACACAAAAGACCTTCTAGCTTGCTTATTTTAACCATCCTGGACGAATTAGAAACTGGGTGGTGTTTCTGGAAACCTGTGTCCTTGCTTTGGTGTGGGGCATGGCGGCCTGCACAGCTCTGGGCCTCACTTGCTCTTTTTCGTCTGCAGGAGCGAGCCCAGGGCGTGGTGCTGAAAGTGCTCACAAACTTCAAGAGCAGCGAGATTGAGCAGGCTGTGCAGTCACTGGACAGAAACGGTGTTGACTTGTTAATGAAGTACATTTATAAAGGCTTTGAGAAGCCCACAGAAAATAGCAGTGCAGTGTTACTCCAGTGGCACGAAAAGGTATGTGAACGCTGCCATGCACCCCAGTGAGCCACCTGGCTTGCCCCAGTGTTCAATCAGCAGGCCGGATTTTCCAGAACAAACGTAGGTCGGTCTGCTAGGCGTGTGGGGTCAGAGGACGAGCCCCAATCTGGAATATCTGGTCACTTCCCTCTCCCAAGGAAGCTCCTGGTAGGGACTTGCTGTTTCTGGTCATCACAGTTACTTTTTTGCTTTTAGCTGCCGATTTGTGCCAGGCAGGACAGGGTGCCCTTGGTACAGGACATGTGGGCAGATAACACGGCATGGTAAGGTGGTCGGGGAGTCTAGGTAGGAAGGGGGCTTGCTAGTTGGTTGGGGCTTCATGATACTTTGCAGTGGTGGAGGCAGCTCTCAGGGGTTCTTAGAAATAAGTCCTCCAGCCAGCTCTAAGGGCTTCCTCCTGCCCTGGCCTCAGCCTTACCAGGCCAGAGTGAGCAGTGGGCAGAAACCTTGACCTCGCTTAATATGGCCTTCATCCAGGTGAAGCAGAAAGAGCTGTGTCTGCCCTTCGCTTGGGTCTGTGTGAGAGCAAGGCCTTTGGCAGCCTGTGTCCTGCCTGTACCACTGGGGCTGCCTCCCACACCTTCCCCCACACACCCCTAGTGCCACAGTAAGCACGCCCACCATTAAAGCAGACCAGGCAGTTACTAACGTGCCTGCCTTCCTCAGAGGCTCAGTGTTGAGTTGGAAGAGAGGGGTTTTACAGTGGGCCAGTCCTTAAGGCGGTGTTGGTGCTGGGCTGTGGTTGTGGCCTTAGGTCTGGTGGGTGTGCTGTGCCTCCTTGGCCTCCACTCTCCTGGGCTCAGAAGGAAGCGAACAAGTCCTCTGTACGATGGGAAGGCCAGGCCCTCTCGTCCCTTTAAGGCAGCTTGGTGCCTGCCAGCCACCTCAGCAGGCGGCACTCAGTGGGCTTGTGTGCATCTGTAAACTCAGCACTTTGGGAGGCTGAGGCAGGAGGATCGCTGGAGCCCAGGAGTTCGAGACCAGCCCAGGCAATGTAGTGAGACCCCATCTCTACAAAAAAACAAATTAGGCGGGGTGCGGTGGCTCACGCCTGTAATCCCAGCACTTTGGGAAGTGGAGGCAGGTAGATGACCTGAGGTCAGTAGTTCGTGACCAGCCTGGGCAACATGGTGAAACCCCGTCTCTACTAAAAATACAAAAATTAGCTGGGGGTGGTGGTGGGCGCCTGTAATCCCAGCTACTTGGGAGGCTGAGGCAGGAGAATTGCTTGAACCGGGGAGGCGGGGTTGCAGTGAGCTGAGATCTTGCCATTGCACTCTAGCCTGGGCAACAAAAGCAAAACTCCATCTCAAAAAAAATAAAATAAAATAGCTGGGCATGGTGGTACACACCTGTGGTCCCAGGTACTCAGGAGGATCGCTTGAGCCCAGGACATCAAGGCTGTGCAGTGAGCTGTGATCTGGGCGACAGAGTGACACCCTGTCTCAAAAGGGAAACTCGAGGGGCTCTGCTTTGTGTGCTTGGTGACAGCGTTCTCAAGCCAGTTCTGCTTGAGAGCCGGCAGCTCTCAGGACCCCACGGCTCCAGGCCAGGGCTCCTTCCCTAGAATGTGCTCTGTCTCAGGGATCCTCTTTCAAGGGATCTGTGATGGATCTAGGTCAGGGAACGTCCCCCCTGTCTCTGGCAAGCCAGGCTCCCCTTGGCCAGCCAGGTCTCATCTGACACGTTTTCTTTTCCTGCCCCCACAGGCCTTAGCAGTAGGAGGACTAGGCTCCATTATAAGAGTTCTTACAGCAAGAAAGACTGTTTAAAAAAAAAATAAAAAGACTCATGTTACCTTGAGAAGAATTCTGGATGCCCAGGCTGGTGAAGAAGGGATTGACAATGGACCATCTTCCTAGGAACTCCCAAGTAAACTATTTCAGGACATGTATCTGCTGAAATGTATTTTATTTTCAAGGTGGAGGGAAAAATCGTCTATTTCCTAAATCCTGTTTAGGATCTGATAGTCTATGCCTTTGTCTCCGAGTACTGCAGAACTGACATTTTGACGATCTACCAGGGTGGCAGCTGGCGTTGGTCAGGTGCACCTGTGTGCACTGGGGGAGGGATGGTTTGGGCAGGTGCAGATCCAAGGGCTGTGGTAAACGGGAGAGCTTGTGTTTTTGAAGTGGAAAAAAACCCAAGAGTTTGTACAGACATCCCGTCTTCCCAGAGAAGGTGGACACTCTTGGGCTCATTGTAAAGTGCCTGCTGCATCAATAAAGCTCTTGGCTTATTAGTATATACATTGCGGTGTGTTTCATATATGTAAAAAAATGGTAATGAATGGGATGGTAATGAATGAGAGTTCAGTTGTTCCGGAAACCCGACGTGGGAGGAGTAGACCTGTGCCCCTGTTGAGTCACCCCTAGGAGCGAGCATGGCAATCCACAGGCCCTCTGCCACAGGACGCCAGCCTTGGCCTCAGAGCCGCTGGCTGCTGCAGAGAGGTGTTTGCTGAATGAACTATTTATTGTTTCTTACTCCTTTGATTTGTATGTAATTAATTTTGGAGCTTATTTAATAAAGTGCCAAACATTTAATAATTGATCTAGGCTTTAGAAGTCTTCAGTTTGTGGGATTGCACTTGGAATCTTTTGAGGGTGGGGCCTCCGATGTGCCTGGTCACGTTTCCTGATGCTGGGTTGGCTGTGCTGCAGAATCACTGCTGCCTGGACAAGTTTTCTTTAAAGAACTAAACGTCAGGAATGGGGAGCAATCAGCAAATAGATAGAAGGGATAATTTTGTTTCCCATAACCAATAACAGAGCCTCTCTGAAGGGCAAAAATGCTTTTCTTTCCTTTTCAGCACGTGTAACTGCAGCTTGCATTCTGTTAAAGGTTAGGGCCCCATTCACACTCCTGAAGCTCCTCTGGGTCATAGAGCCCTTGGATACAGACTTTGACCAAAGTGACACAGTCCTCCCCTCCACAGCTCTCCCCTCCTCAGCCCCTCTGCAGAACCACTGCAATTCTTGGGGGGTAGAATGAGGCTGTTGGCTTCATTAAATTACATTTATTCACCCAAATCCAGTCGGGGGAGGTTCTTTCTGAAAGACAAACATTCTCTAGCCCTTGAAGTTGGCCTTGGAGTGTTAAATATGAGACACAAAATACCAGATTTAATGAGTCAAAGAAATAGTGACACGCCAAACTAGTAAAATCCATTGTAGTTGCATCTGGATTGAAGAGCTTTAATCAAAAAGTGTATTGCACCACAGATGAATTTTCTACAGCAGTTTTCAAGAATACAATCCTATTTACAATATGGAAGGAGAGCTCAAGATCCACTGCTTGTATAAAGGGCTATAGATACCGTCGCTATCACAAAGTTTTATACAAGTCAAAGTGCATTAAATCACTTAGAATATTTACTCCACTCTTCCTCTTAAAGCTGAAGGAAATTCAACATGCAGGAGGAAAGCCTAGTCAGTGAAGCCTCCCTAAAGTGAGTACAGACCTAGGAACGGGCCCCACAGCTACACCTAAAACGGCTGAGGAGTGGGACCTGGGGTGCGTGTGGGGCCAGTTCAAGGGCTGGAGAAGCCACGGAGGCAGCAGACGGGCTTCCGTGGAAAAGTAGCTGCCTTTGGCTGGCCTTGAGCTACCCAGTCGTAGAGACGCTCTCCTGAACAGCCGAGAAAGGAAATCTGACTTTGAAAAAAGGCTGCCTCTTACCCATCAAACTTGGAGAAGAGACTCCTGTTTCGTGTTCCCACCAGGTAAATGGAAATTCATGTTCGAAACAAGGGACAACTGTGTCTGCAAGGAGGAGCCAGATGAGGTGGTCAGTCACTGGAGAAGGGTGCCTCTGGAAGGCAGAGAGCCTGAGCTGGGACTAAGGAGATGCTGCCCTGGCTTGGTTCTTCATGGAAATTTCGTTAGGTTAACGTTGCAAATAGGTGTTTTTCTGTGACATACATTTTATATACCTATGTTGGCCCTAAGCATGATTGAGAAATACAACTTTCCATCACTGGATAATGGATAATAAATTTAGGAGCTCCAGTTATTAATTTAGTTTTTTATTTAACCAGTGAAACTTCCATCAAACAATAAACTGTTTCCTTTCAGATTCAATATTGTGGTTTTTCCAGAACCAGCATGTTCCCTTCCTCAGTAACGAGGAATCCATGAAACAAATTTCTGTCGGTTACTACCAGAGTCGTGCATGCTACAAGTGCCGCAGCCAGCTGGGGGCCGTCCGGGTGTAGTGTCATTTTAAGTATTTGGGGTGGGATAAGGGGGAGAGAGTGGCTCCACACACAAGGTTGACTGCCCCAATGTCTCCATCAAGGCTGGGGGACAGCTGCTGCCCCACTGGAGACAGCGGACTGTCCTTCAGCAGAAGACGGGTGATCTGCATTGCCCAGCGGCCGCGCAGCACAGAATCAAGACAGACGCCACTGCGCTTCAGAGGGAGCAGTGCCGGAGTGCGAGTGAGAAGACAAAGGAACGGGAATCCGAGTTTTAGGAAGAATTCCCTCTGGACGCTCTGATTTTAAGAACACCAGTTAAATGGATTTTATAATACAGAAGACATGTTTATAGTAGTGAAGAACTTCAGCTATAAAAAATAGTTTAAAATGGTTTACCAGCAACCTATCCAAGACAAGTACATTCATTAAAAAGGCAATTGAGTGTATTTGGTACTATACTTAGGGTCTTTTCATGTATTTGCTAGTTTTCTTAAGTGGAGATACCATCAGAAAGGTGCATATTCCTCATTCATCCACACCGGCCCTTAAAGATGGATCCTCTAAAGTTCTAGGTGGTTTGAGAGACAAGGTGAAAGACTGTTTTCTTGAGAGGAAGGGATAAAAAGCTTCTAACTCTCTGAATTTTTAAAAGCCACTCCTATGGAGTTCCCATGGAGTTGGCTGTTCCTGGCAGAGGCAGGTGGGTTTCGCCTGCCGGGCACCATCTCAAAGGGCCGTCTCTGCCTCCCGCGGCATCGCTACGTGGTGACTCAGGTGTGCCTGCCAGATGCTGATGGCTTCAGCTGTAAGTGCTACTGTGAAGTTAGAGGACTCAGGTGCAGACGGGGTGCTGGCTGGAGCTGGGATATTAGCAGCACTGTGGAAATCTGGGTAGTGCCAGGACCCTCCTGTTTGGTGACCAGAATGACAGGATCAGCTACCCCCTGAGGTTCAGGTCAGCCTGCAGGGAAGTGGGCCTTAAGTCTTGTAAACAATGTTTAGACGCTTGTACAAAATACTGCAGTTACAGTGATTAAAAACCCACCCAGACTGGTGTGTCAGTGTTCTTTTCACAGAAAAAGTGTCAACCCACGGAGCTCCATCCTTGGGTAGTCCCCTCTAGGACCATGGTATCCGAGGGTTTGAGATAGATGGCCGGATGCTGCCTTTGGGAGCTGGTTTGGACCCAAACCATGACATCTGCATTTGAAACAGAAAAGGCTTCTGAGATGCAAATCAGGACTTAGTGCCAGGGAAACTGAACCACCCCTCCCCTCCCCTGAGCCTGTCACTCCTGCCCCCCACGCATCCTGCCTTTGGCTCTGAGCACAGCAAGAAGATGGTTCCAATAACCAGTCTGCAGGCCCGTGCTCAGTACCGGAGGGAAATGAGAGAAAAACACTGAGTTGACAGGAATAAGGTAGTGGAACTGTAGGTTTTTTTCCTATTAGAGCATTTATGCAGACACTTTGGGAATTTGAGTGCTGAGCCAGACCTGGGGCTCTCAGTAAAGCACAATCAATGAAAATGCTTTGAAAAACACGTGGCCTGTTGGTCAAGTACAGCACAGACGTTTGGGCACAAAGGATGTCATTGCTAAAAAGTGCCTGGATCAAGTTCATCCAACAGCAGCCAAGCTGATCATGCAGCTGTGCTGGTTACCTACATTCGTGGGGGCTAAGGGGTCTTCAACTGCTACTGCTGGGATGACTGACGACATATTTTGGAAGCTGTAACGGTAGACCAGAGAACCCTACCTTATATTCCAGAGTTTCTTTGAGCATGTTCTCCTCCTCTTGGGAAAAGTTCAGCAACACCGACACAGCTTTTATAAGATGAAAAGCCTGAAACACAGTAAGTTTTGCTGCCATAGGCCAAGGTGGAGGTGAGGCGGGGTGGTGGGGGGAGCTACATGGCATGTCCTGCTTGCTTTGGTTGGCAGGACCAAGTGGTGGGTGACGCTCTGGCACTCTGAAGTTTGGCAGCAATGATAGGTTCTTTCTTCCCCTGCATCCTCAGGGACCTGGCAGGCTTCAGGGAATTTCCCCAGCAGCTACCCTACCCTTTGGCAGGACCCAGGAGTGATGGGTGGACTCTGCTCCCGGCCTCCGCACCCAGGCCAGGATTTAGAAGTGGAGCCCACATCTCCCACCAGGAGCCGGTTCCTGCATGGCCTCTCCCGCCAGCTGCTCACTCCGCAGGCCAGCGCCAGCAGGAGAAATGACTGAGCGCCCACAAGGGCGTCAAATCAGGATGTACGAGGAAAAGGGAGAAATGGGCTGGGCAGGGGTTCCTGCAGGACAGACTGTAGGGCGGGGCCTCAATACCCAAAAGACACTTCAAAAGCCCTTTACCTCGGATTCGCGACAGGACATGAATTTTAAAACCACATGCTTAAGGTACTCAAAGTTGATCTCGCGGGCATCCGTCAGGTCGGCGTTATTCGTGACGGAAGGCGCCATGTTTGCCATGTCAGGTCCAGGTTTCTCCCGGACTTCGAAGAGCTCATTATCGGGTCTGATTTTCTGAAAAACCAATGGGAAAGATGTTACACTGAACCGTCTGAGGCAGGTGGAAAAAGTCACATGGGAGGTTCACCTGGTCCAAACCATGATCACTATTGTAGGGCAAAAAGGGCCCCACCTGAGAAGGAAGCACCTCCAGGTGGGCTTGAGGAGGGAGTGACATCATTTGGGGAAACTCAGATAGTCCCTTATCCGTGGCAAGAACACATGTCCCTGGGGCCTGGAGCTGCTGGCATCCCGCATCGGGCCGAGCACTCCGCCACACACACTGTCAGAGCGTGGCTGTGCTGGCCTGGCAGACAACCCCACTTTCAGATGAGGATGCAGGCTCAGAGAAGGCAGGCAGGGCCGCGGCCACGGAGCTGCTTCAGAGGTGCATGCAGGCTGGCAGGCCGGCCCACCAGCTAACACTGGACTGCCCAGTGACCCCTTGCAATTAATTAGGGGTTGGGGGGAGCATAGGCAGCGAGGGACCTCAGGGGGACCAGGCACAGGCAGCGGGGGGAGGGCTGGGAAGTGGGGCCAGCTCCTGTGGGGGCACTCACCAGCTCCTTCTGCAGAGTCTTCCGGAGCTCCAGCATCCGCTGCTGCATCTGCTTTATGGTCTGCGACAAGCCCCACCCCACAGACAGTCAATCATTATATGCATGTTTCACCAAAGGAAACAGAGCCGAAGATCCCACGGGGTCCCCTGTACACCTGTGAGGAGCCTCTGCCCTGAGAAGTCATCCTGAGAAGCTGGTGCTCAGCTGTCGCGTGTTGTGCCTACGCCTGCTGGGCTGTCATCCCTCTTGGGCCACTGCTTTCACACACTGGAGTCTCCACG